TAGATACCGAGCACACCTTCGTCTGAGAGAAGAACTCGCATCGTCGGCATCTGTTTAACCAATAAAGGCCGAGGATCTCTCGAATTCATGCACTCAGATGACTCCTTTATCATTGAGGATAGTTAATTAGAGATAACGAAAAAATCACAGGAAAAAGTGTAAGAAACTAGGACAAACGATACATACTGGCGCAAGGAGCGGCAGCTTATTAACGCAAACACCGAATGAGTATCGGTTTCTAAGCCATTTTGAAATAGTAACTGTTTTAGCTTATTTACTCAAGGTACGACGGCGGCCAGGGGAAATAGTGACGAAATTGTACCCAATAATGTTTCCTATTTTTCAAAGAACGTATCTGACTTCAACTTACATTTCTTGTTATGCTGTATGCTGAAGATTGGTATGCCGAGTTACCAGCGTTACTATTTTCTGTCCTTTTCGAAGTTCATGATATATCCATAGGTATAGTCACGACAGAGTTAAACCTAACCCAGTTATATTTAAACTCAGAGGCAAAAGCTGAGTTTTAAATTTGCAAGGAATAAAACTTCTCTAGAGAGATACTTCGTCTTAATTCCACGTAAACAAACTTTTAAAAGTTGCATTTATGAGCAGAAATACTTCTTTTACGCCACGTGTGCATGCGTGTGATGGGATTTTACAACGCTTTTCACTTTAATATCAATAACAAAGGCGTTATTTATGTGCGAATATCAACGCCTATTTAAAATGATATGGTTTATACGGAGGCTTAGTGTGTCCTACCTGTGAGTTGTTCTTGTAAGCTGCTTTTCTAATTACTGTAGACAAGAAATGGGGACTGACCATTCTGTTTTTCCCCCATCGTGAAATGGATCCCTAAACAACATTAATTCAGACGCTGTGTGAAGTCACAAATAAGTTTCCATCGGATGAAGACAGACATGTTATGGCATAACAAATCTAAAATTGTGGTTCTAACCGTCGCCCTGCGGCCTCAGCGGAAACCTGGATCGGAATAGAATCTTAAATCTCGATGAATGAGCTTCCCATTGTTTTCAGTACCGTTAACTGGGTCTCTCTTGTGTGTTTATATTGAACTATCGACGTATTTGAAGGGCTAAAGGCAGAGCCACTGAAGGCGCTTCTTATTTGTAATAATTTCGCGAATTTACGCTTCAGATATAAGTGTAAACGTTAGAATTTTGGCGTTTCACGAAACAAAAAATTCAAGAAATAAATGTCGCTGTTCACTGTGACTCAGTACGGAAAGACTGAGGATCACAAAGTCTGCTTCAAAGCTGACTGTGAGTAGTCGTATTGCGAAAGACTATTTTTTTCAAAAACTACGCGGTCAAGTTTTTTTGAAAATAAAAGTGCCGTAGGCTATCAGTATCTCACTTCGTAGTGGGTTCGGTGGTCAGAATTTCCGTTGGCTGGGGGAAAACCCCTGCAGTGTCATCGTGTAGGTTCGTAAGGATGACCACATAGCAGATTCACACAGGCAAACTAAAAGAGGTCCTTCGTTATCGACAAGCGGCCATGTTCACGAATAATTGGAATGTCCAGAGCAGGCCACAACTTTCTTGCCTTTAGGACAAAGGAACTAAATGGAATACATTTAGCCTATGCTGGTAAGGAAAATACTTAAGATAGTCGACCATTTTTGCTGCTCTGCGTTCTAGTTGTTCAAGGAGTCCAATGTACCTCCTCTTCCGACGCGTAGCTGCTGACATTCCCTATTCCAGATGGGGTTTCCCAAAGACGTTGAAAATTTGTCTGAAGTGTTCAGGAAGAAATATTTTAAACGCACACCCAAACTTATGCAACGTACTAGCTGCGTTCTGGACCCTCTTCTTACAGTGACCAAATGGTATGAAGCACGTAGTCATCCACATACTCGTGTCTCTACGCTTTACCACATCTTCTATTTTGGTCCTAATAATATAATATCGATGTTTTGAAGAAAGCTTCAACCGACGTGCAGGTGTAGGGTCACGCAGTGAATTGCAAGAGTCATCTGCTTGACGATATTCGATTGCAACTTCTTTCCGTCACTAACATAGCTACCTGCACTCCGTATTTTTATGTCATTTGTGAACATGAGCGTCTCACGACATAATTCGTTAGTACCATCATTAACATAAAGCAGGAAGAGTATTGGGTTTAAAACGGAACCCTTATGGACATCACTTTCCTCTTTAGCCCATTTAATGCTACAATTGCCGACAAGGAGTCTCTGCGTTTTGAAGGATAAGAAACACCCGACCACTTCGGCACTTTTTCTCCGAATTCCTGTGTCACAAGTCTTCTATAAAAGAAACCTGTGTGGTGTGATATCAAAGGCCTTCTTGAAGTGAAAAATGTGACAAAATAGCTCCTATGTTTGTCCTTCTGCTATTTCTCATACGAGTAAAGGAAAGAGCATCCTTCTCTAAAGCCGTGCTGGACATATAATAATATTCAGTTTTATTCAAGATATTCCGATGTCTTTTATTAATACGCCATATTATCTTACATGCAATGTAAATTAGACTGACAGAACGATATTTTTTGCAGTTTGGTCGTGATGATGAGTGCACACTTTTATTCCTCCAGGAGTTTGCCTCCATCAGAAGACTTTTGAAATATAAAGGAGTGTAGTTCGCTTAATTCAGTGGTGAGTTCTCAAAGTGTTCATGCAGGAATTCGATCCGGACCAGGCGATTTGGCAGGCTGCAGTAAGAGTAGTTCAGTCCTAATTAGGGACGACGAAAAATGGCTTTCTTCTACAGAGACGGTGGTGTTGGTTGGCAAACGGGTAGAAGACCAAAAAAGGATTAGACGGACTGAAATAAATTACAACAAAGGGATGCTTTAACCTGGCTGCCGGTCTCTAACGCTCAATCCGCAGTCCTTAGGGCAGGGATCAGGTCCTGATGTTTTTGAGTACTCTGTATATAGTTACATGAGATTTTTGGACATTCCAGAGAGTTTTGCGATATGTCCTGTTTGAACTCCCTTTGGAGTTCAGCAGCCTCAATTTTACAAATGTTTCGCTGCTACTTATATTCTCATAAGTGTTCTTTTGGGCCGGCTGGTATGAATCTTCTCCAAAAACGACTTCGTTTTTTCGAAAAAAGTCTTCAGGTTTGACTTTATTCACATGGGGCGGTTTGTCATATCTTTCTCTTGAAAGGACAACTGAGGTCAGCAAGCCTCCTCAACAATGGACTGAAAGGCCTCCAGTGGTCATTTATTTCACCATGTGTTTAATTTCTCATGACATCCTTGACATTTCTCTTTTTATAAATCGGTGGTTCCCTTTCTCAATGTTTCCCTTCGACTATCAGGCGAATTTGGGTTAGAAAACATTAGGTACTCAAATTTCAGCGCAAGATGATCGCCTGACCCTATTGGCGGTCGATGGCCAAGCGCATTTCTTTCTTCTGAGGTAAAGATAAGTTCATGGAAATTTTTCTTTTGTCCCTCATTAATTCCTGTTACGAAGTTAACGTTCCGGCCGAAGAGTTTATCCATTGCACATTGCAGTAATTTGTAATCAAAGTTATTTAACAGGCCCTTTGCAATCCACGTTCGTCAGTCAATACCAGGAGCGTTAAAATCCCAACGATAACGGCCTCCTTCTTCTCACTGACTAATGTAAAGTTCAAATATGAGATTAGGATCATGGACAGAAACCTGGTTAGAAGCATAATACGCCAACGAGAACGTTATCGTATAGAGAGATTCTTAACACTTCCACTTCCTGCGCCGGGCTATGTACCTCTGTTATGGTGGTTAGCTTATAGGTAAAATAAAATATGGCTCCTTCTCCTCCACCTCCTGTGTCTTTGTCCGTCACCTTGGAAGTGAATGATGTATCCGCAAGTATATCGAGGACAGAGAGTCCAACTGAGCCCAGTTATACTGACGTTCAAAGAAAAAGTTGGATTTAATAATTATAAAGTATTAAATTTCTTTAGAGATATGCCCCGACTTACTTCATCAGAAACAAACTTTTCAAAAATAGCATCGATGAGCGGCGTCTTTTCTCAGACCACTAAAATTTTTTTCACAGGCTACAAGTTCCACCCTCGTACATAATGTCAAAATATAGACTGTAATTAAATATTGGCATCTGGCAAAGACTGACGCTCATAAATACTGACAGATTTTACAAGGTTTCTTGGACAGTTTTTGATAGGCTAGATCTTTCCGCTGATGTAGAAGTTTATCAAATTATGGTCGCAATGAACAATCAGATTAAATTTACTACGTAGTCAGCTGACTCATTGGCTGAACTAATTGTATTTGGCAGGACTTCCCACCGATCGATTCCTAGAAAGCTGAATTTCCGACCCTTGAGATGGCCATAAACCCGCGTTTCAAAAGGACTTAGAAAAACTTAGATAAATGGCTAACTTTGAGGCAGATACTAACCACAAGTATTTATAACTAGCCGACAAATCAGGGCAGGCAACGGCTGCGTGGTCTAAAATGTGAGCGGAAAAGCCTAAACAAGTTTTACTCAATAATAATGTTATTCTTGCGACTTAAGCCCAAACATTCGTGTACTAAAGAAAGTTCAGGCAATTAGTGACGGAAGAACGAATTTTGAAATTAAATTCTTTGCTTTTCGCCCTATGCGGCCTTCATACTCATTTTATCTCCAGTCCCTTTGAAGCTGCTCTCAAATTAGAGTAGCAAACAACTTTGCAGCCTAGATGTGACCTTTGACAAATCACGCGCGCCACGATGCTTAGTACTCGACGGTCTTCCTTCCAATGAGTACGGTAGGAGTACGTATGCACCGTGGCTTGCGGGGATGTGGTGTCAGTCATAACAATATTGATAATTAAAGCGCTATATAAACTGGTTAAAAGAGACCTTGATATCTAAGTGTGCTGTGTGTAGGAGAAAAGCAAAACAACACCACTTGACTTTCGCCGGCCCTAGTCGCCGCGAGTGGCAGCAAGCAACAAAGTTACGTTACATCTGGTGCAATTTTAAAAATACTCAAACACAGTCGGGTATAAAAAATGACTTGCCATCGTCGTTGTACGTTTGCCTTCGCCACTGCCTGGACACTGGTTGTTATCGCACTTCTGCTGATTGAACTCTTTACGCCGTACATGTATGTAAAATCAGACGCTGCACACGGACTTATGTACAAATGCACAGCCGGTAAGCAAGCATTCGTATATGTTCTAGTGCAACGTTTATGACACTGCCTATATATGTCTCTCTTCATTTCTTATCTATACAGAAATTTTATCAGAATTACATATTCATGCAGGGAAATCTGTATTTTCTATTGTAACTACTACGTTTCTGTGCAAAATGCATACAATATAGTGCATTGTGCTTTATCGGCATGCATATATATATATAGTGTTATTTGCGTTTTTTGTTGATTTTAGCCTCAGATCCTTCTAATTTGCCATCTCAGATAGAAAAAAATGTGTGCAAACTCAGTTTCACGCCAAATGCGGGTGGGTTGTGGTCTTCAGAATTTCTTTTTTACGTCTCATTATTAATGCTTATTGCGTAAAACTGTGCGCCTGACTTTCACACATAAAATTCAGAAATGTAAGGAGATGTGTTTTGTCCCTGTTGGTGTCTACTTAAAACGAAAAACTTCCTATTGTTTTAATAACACTCCGATATAACCGCTGATGGTAGGAATCTGCCTGCGCATATAAAACAAATTCATTTATCGGTAGTTTTTCATACTTAAATGCAGAGATATCTTACTTATTATGGAAACAACCGGCAACTAACTAGAAGCCATAATACACGATAAGTCGGACCTTATGTGCATCCTTTCAGAACCTAGAAACCATTGACATGTACATAAAGGCAGACGTATAAGTTTCAGAAGTAAATGGCACACGTCATATTGTATCATTTGAGATCAAGTCATGAATTTTGCTATCGATTCGACAAGCCAATCAGGGTAAGTAAATACGCGCTAGGGCTGAACACCTGTTTATCAAAAGATGTTCATACTCATAAACTGGGCCCGTTATTTAAAAGACAAATAGTGGTTAGAATGTGCAATAAGAACACGAAGTCTCCTCTCTTAGTTGCCACCATTCAAAAAGTTCAAACCATCCGTAAATGCGAACATTTCCCGCTAAAGTGCTCCATCTACTGTCTGGGGATTTCTAACGGATATTTAATCATCAGTTTCCATGTGTCACGAAACAACAGAAAACAAATCTGGAGCCTACATGAGTCAAATGACTAAAGTTAGGGAGTCTCCGAATGACTGTTCCCTGAACTTAGCCATTGTTGTTACTTACTTAAAAAGGGCTCCTTGTACCTTTGCGCGGTGGGTTCTTATAATGGTGGTTCACTTTTAATATTAATGACAACAAAGTTTGAAACAAACCGATTTATCTTTAGGTAATTTTACCTCTTAAGGAAATGCACGTGCCAAGACCAGATGTGAAACGTCCGTGTGAATATGTGGATAATTTTGCAGTCTAGTTTCCCACTCACCTGTCTGTTGTTTTAATGATCCATATAGCAACAATTTGTGCCCTGATTTCGTTCGCCATCATCACAATCTTCCTTATATACTCCACTGTTGTGTGGTTCAAACTCTGCTGCATCGCAGAAAGTTGGCCAATGTTTTTCATCATCCTCGTCAGGGTCGGTATAGCACTTAACATTTTGGCGCGTGAGTTGAGAGTTTTAATTCCCCATGTTTCTACGTAAAGATCTTTAACAACCTTTCGTATTCATCAATCCCCCAAAGATTTCCATAATAAGCTTCACCCTACCACAGGCAAGATATAACTAGTTGAGTATTTCATACTTAACGGGTTTATTGG